TCAAATGACAGGTTAACTTCCAGATCCTGGCGCCTCCATGTCTTAAGAAAGCTTTCGATAGGGAAGGTGGCGTGCCTTCCGTACCACAACGTCGCTGGTGCGTACTTGGTGGATTTTTTTACTGTAATATTCTCAACAAAGAAAGCCGCCCTTAGGCATCTTGGCCATTGATTAGGCCTACCTTCTGTCCACTTAGCCAGGAGACTCGTAATGGTACTATGTCCTCGTTCCACGGGAGCATTTGCCTGGGGGTGCGCGGCCGTGGTGTAGTTGGCTGCCACACCATACCTTGATAAAAGTTCTTGCACTTCCTGGCAAGTAAACTCCGATCCCCTGTCCATTACGAACTCCTTGACGAAAGGATAGCGCAAGTAATACTCCTCGATGTAGTTCACTAAGACTGACCCGGTCTTCGTGCGAATAGCACGTCCGTCTACGAACCCAGACAGGTTATCGCGCGCATCGAAAATGTAGTTATAGCCCTGATCCCCAAACGGCATAAAAAGCAGATCGAGATGCACTACGGCCCCCACCTCTCGCTCTAGCCTTGGATGCAGCGGCTCTCCTTGTCTTAAATGAGACCTTTCCTGGCAAGGTACGCACGATCGGCAGAACTTCCCGACCATATTCATCATTCCATCCCAGTAGTAGAGATCACTTATCTTGGCATACGTAGCTTGTATCCCTCGGTGCCCTCCTGCAATKCCATCATGAAGCGCAGCTATGACGTCGATCTGACGATTCCTACCGCAGACGACTCTCCTAGGATTTCTCACTTCTCTTCTTACAAAAAGGTGGCCGTCTCGCACTAGATAGCGCTGCAGCATCCTCTGAGCTTATCGCTTGCATCCCTAAGCCGCTTTTCACATGACAGAAGAAGCCCCAGCTCTAGATAAATCCCGTCGTACTCCTCTACATGAAACGCCTCTTTAATCTCCCCTTCCTCGAACTCGTCGTCCTAACTCTCGGGCACTTCGTTCACATTCCCTGCCGGGTTCGACGAGCCTGGTTGGTCTAGGCTTTCCTGCAATAACGTATTGACGAGGAGATACATTCCTCCCATCAGGTCCTCATGCCGTTCTACCTGGCCAGGTCCTTCCTCAATCGTCCTCATATCCTCCACCAGGCTACGCGAGCTGGCCAGCGCTAATTCCATCATCCACCGAACATCCTTACCGCCCCAAGGATCCTCTTCCTCAAAGCGCTTAACGACTAGCTCATTCCTCCTTTCATACCCGTTCGGCGCTTGCCAAATAGGATAGCCTACACAGCTGGGCACTCGCGGCGACCACTTATTGATATGGAGACGAACATCTTCTTCCTGATCCAGAAACCCATCAACTGGGGGCGTATTCTCCACCGCCTCCCCTCCCTGTCTATCCCAGTTGATCCGGCTCAGCCCGTCTGCCCGGTTCTTGCTGCCAGGAATCCGCTCCAACTCAAAATTGAACATCCAGATGTACGTCAGCCATCTGGCAACCGTTGGATCCGATGGAACGTAATTCCTTAAAGAGTAGGCCAGGGCGGTCGGATCCACTCTCAAAATAAACCTCCTGCCGAAGATATAGTTCCGGAAGATTCGCAGACGGTGGAGGACAGCAAGGGTCTCCCTCTTGAACAAAGAGTAGTTCCTTTCCGTTGTACAGAGAGTCCGACTCTCAAATCGCAAGGGTCTTTCCTTTCCTTCCATGTCTGCCTGAATTAGAACTCCCCCTAAGGCAGTCGGTCCCGCATCCGTTTCGACAATGAAGGGTCGCGTCTCCGTGGCGTCATAATCTGGCGCTCCTAATACCAACCCAACTTCTCGAAATTCCTCCTTCATTTTTGCCACCACCTCTTCTTGCTCTTCACCCCATACCCATTCCTGATCTTGACGGACTAACTTCCTCAGGTGTTCAGTCTTAGCGGCAAAGTTCTTGACGAAGGCCCTCCAAAATCCACACGTACCAAGGAAGCTCCTTACATCAGTTATTGAGTGGAACGGAACTGGCCACTCAATAATCTTGTCCGTCTTCTTCACATCCGGCCTTCGGCCTTTCTCACTGCAGACGAATCCCGAGATAGTCGCTTCCCTCATGCAGTGTCTGGATTTGGCCCAGCTCGCCGTGAGGTTATGCTCTTCGAGCAGGCTCAGGACCTTTTCGAGGTCCTGGATGTGTTTACAGACAAAGCGCCTTACCCCCGGTGAGACTTCGTTGCTCTCTTTCACCGCCGGCCCCTTCACTGCCAAATCATCAATGTATGGCTGTGTGATATGGGGGCTGACTAACTGCATAGCCCGAATCATGGCCCGTTGGACCATTGCTACCGCATTGGTCCACCCTTGAGGGGCCACGTTCATGTGGATTAATCCTCGCGGCGTATGCAT